AAAAAGGCAAAATATATTCCTATATTTCGAGGCTAAAGGAAGAAATGTAGACAGTTGGATTAAACTACTGTTATTTCTCTTTATTTTGATTTTTACAATAGCCTCTTGTGGTATAGATTTTGTGGAAAAAGACATGTTAGTTTTGTTGTAGTTTAGGGAGCTTTAATTTTCTGGATTAAAGTTTAGTCATAACTGAATGTTTTCCAGAAATCTGTGAGGCTTTTCTGGTATAGGTTTACACTGGTATCAAAATGCTCTACAGTGCGCTAATACAACCTTGCTAATTATTATGCACTCTGGATAATGCTGATAATATTTAGCTTAGAGTTCAAGAAGGTTCCATCCTTGTTTACACGGATTAGATTTGGAAAACATGTTTTTTCAGACTAGTTTATGCAAAGCTGAAAGTAGAACTGAGATGTCATTTTTCTCAGTTGCTGTGTTTTTGATTATGTTTCTGTTAGTGTGTTAATTAGGATCAGGAGTGCATTTTTGAAGTGAATCTCCTGAAAACCAAAACTTCCTGCACCTTGATTCATATCACAGTACTCTTGAAGTATGTGGACTATTCTTTTTGGATGTAACAAACCAGAAGTTGTATGTATTCAGGGGTGCACCTCATGTGGTGCAGCTGCTAACGGATTTTAATTAGGGGCTAGGGCTAGTCTGAAGTAAATCTCCTCTCCCTCAAAAACCAGAGGGTGGGTCTCATGGTGTCATCACAAGCATTTTGCTCTACTAATCCACCCTGGTGCTTCACCTTAATTGCTAATGCAGACACAGTGTTGTAAACCAGATCAGGTTTTGTTTCTATGTTTACTGACTCTGCTGTAAACAAACTAATTCAGCTGTTTGATACTTGTTTGGTTTTGCTGTTACTGATAAAATAAGTAGCATTTTAATACGTGTTTAGTTCTTAATTTATGAGTCTATTTCCTGCTTAAAAAGACTACATAGTATTCTGAAAATAAATATCAGACCAAACAAGAAGCAAATATGTTTTGATAACAAAATCTATGTGGTTATGTAGCGCTATGATTTGGTTTATGCAGAGCTCCACACTTACACGGCTAGGCTACTTTGTGTATCTGAATCAGTATGGATGTCTGTCTGCTACAGAAGACTGTAACATGGAGCATTGTAGACATACTGTTCCCAAATTTAATAAGCTAGAATATGCCTTAGCATATAACCATAGTTGGTAGTGCTTAAAAAAAGCTTAAATTCAACTATATCAAGGCAGTAAGAATATGCTAGCAGTGAAGAGCAATGAGAACATAGAACTAGGTGTGGAATTCAAAATGAAGGTTAGTGTACAATACCCTGTCTCTAACAATGGCCATAAGCAGATGCTTGGGGAAGATTGAGAACAGGACAAGTATGTATGATTCTTGTCTCATCCTGTCTCCAAATATTCTTCCGTTCTCCAGCTGTTTTCAGCTCAGCACTCTTGTACCTACTGTGCTTTGTATGTTTAACAACCTATAATGGACCTCTTCCAAGAAATGCAATTACTTATCCAGTCTTCCCTTGAAACTGTGTATAAAACTGCTGCTGCATCCACTGTGTTCTCAGGCATGCATTTTAATGAGCTGACTACTCTTTGCCTATGAACTTTTTGTGTAGTTTGTACCTGGTACATACTAGCTACATTTGATGGCTCCTTGCTTTTCTACTGAAGCACTTGATCCCTGGACCCATGCTGTCTATGCAACTCATAATTTTGTGGATATCTCCTACATCTGCCCTTAGCCATCTCTTTTCTGAACTGTTGAGTTCTAGCCTGCTCGATGTTGCTTATATAGAAGCCATTCCTTACCTTTTGTGACCTTATTACCTTTCTCTGATCCTTTTCTAATTATGCCATATATAATTACACTTGGAAATCAATAGTGTGTTTAATGTCTGGGTGAGCCACAGATTTACAGTGACATCGTGATGTCTCTTGTTTTCTATTTCTCTCTAGTCACTCTCTACGTTTGAGTTTCCTTTTGACTGCTACTGGGTACTAAGCCAGTGTTTTCATTGAGCTGCTTATTATTACTTGTGAGACTCTCTTCTGAGCGGTAGTGGTGAGGTCATGCTTCATTGGTTCTTCTGTGAAGTTAGTATCATCTTTTCCATGGATATCACTTTCCATTTAATAATGTTGAAATTCATAGCTTATGTTAGCATTCTGAGGTCCTTTTACAGTCATTTTTCATTGGTGCTTTGCAATCTTTGTTATCATCTCACTTCTCAGCCTGATTTTTCTGTCTTTTGCAAGTATACAAAATTGAATAAATTCCAGCACAGGCCCTTTGCAAAACTCCCAATGGATTCCCTCCATAGCAAGAATTGACCATTTGTTCTTATGCAGTTTCTTTTATGTGATTTTTTTTTTTTTTTTTTTTTTTGTCTGTCCTGTCACCTCTTAATCTGTGGCAGCTTAATTTCCTTGAAAACTCTTCAGAAATTTTTGTAGGCTGTTTGGACCAGGGTCTCCTTTTTCCACATCCTTTGTTATTCCTTCAGAGAATTGCGAGATTTGCAAGGTAAGAACATCATGGCTTTTACAGAAGCCATGCCAGGTCTTACCAGAGCAAATCGTATTTATCTATATATCCATTAATTCTGTACTTTATTATAACTTCTCATTTGTCTAATACGGTCATAAGGTTAGCAAGTCTTTAGTTCCCTGACCACTCTAAAATCTTTTTTAGAGGATAGAATTGTAGTTGCCACAGATAAGATATGATAATATTAATTGAATGAAAAGTATTACAAGTAGAACCACCATAACTCACAATTCTCATGTCCCATCTGAATGAGCGTAAAGTAATAAGACAGCTATAAAGTTTTCTATAATTATCAGTGTGACTTATATTTAAACTTTAAGAAATGTATATAGCTAGTTGCTACAAAGTCAATATCTTTAATTCTACTCTAAAGCTAACCTTTGTTTCAGAAATGTATTTAAAAAGCAGAAAGTTTGATAAAAAGATAACTCATACTATATTTGAATAGTGTTCTTTTTTTAAAGCTAAGCAAGCCTTTCAGAAAAGCCTATATTAATTTAGATTTGCATTTTGTGCACTATTCACTTATAACTTTCCATTTCAGATTTTAAGTATAAAGGTACCTAGAGGTTAATATGCTAGATTTTTATATTAATAAAACTATAAAGATATAGATATTTATATTTAAATTTATCTGTATATAAGATATATACGCTTTTGGTAGGAGCATTTAAATAATGAATACAAACATATACTCCTTCTTCATGAAGCCAGAGGTACTTGAAGTTGATAAATGTTAATAAACTTTTTTTTTTAAAAAAAGAGGAAGATAAATTCTGCAGTGCTGTGAATTTGTGGGGTGACCATAAAATATTTTGCCATAAAAATATTCTATCTGTTTAGAATGTAGATAAGAAAGAGGAGAAGGAGAGAAAGAATGGATTTGTTGAGTTAGTTGAAGTAAGATGCAGAGATTAGTAATGATAAAATAAATTTTGTATCCACAAATTTTTACGACCAATTGTTCTTAAAGACTGTATATGTTCTTAAAGGTTATATTAATGGGCTTATGAGGAATTTCTTTCCATTAAAAAAGTGTCATTAAGTATTTTCATTTTGTTAAAACTTTAATTGTTGCCTCAGAACCCAAAATACACCAAGATGGGCTTAAAAAAATAACTGAAATTGTACAAGAAACAAACATGTCTGAAACTTTTTAGAAATTCTAATACAAATTTGTTTGCATAATTTTATATAGCCTTTTTAGTTTTCCTACACTTAAAATATAATGTAAAATTGATAGTATGATGCGTAGTTCTACTTCTTGCATTCATTTGTTTTTCTTGTTGAAAATGGTGATTCTTCCTCACAGCTAACAAAGATTTATCAGGAAAAAAGTGCTGAAAAGTAAAAAAATTTAAATAAAACAAAAGCAGTAAAGTGCCCTATATCTTACCCTGTAGTTATTTTGGTCTGTTTCTAGGTATAAGACACAATAAAAACTTTGCATAGCTCAAATAGTATAAACTATTTTTCTTTAGATTTCTTAAAGCAATGTTTGTTCTACTTTGAAGCAGAATATAGCTGATTGGTATTAGCTATGCAGAAAGATAGTCTAAATTAATAATTTAGAAATCCCGGTATGCTACTACTTGCACCTGCTCTACTTGATGAACAATTCTAATAAAAAGATTGCATTACATTTTAGGTGCCTTCTAAAATACTGTGGGTTAAACATAGGTAAAATATAAATACTGATGGTTCACTTGTTTTAATGCACATCCTTTTCTCTAGATCCTAAGACCTTTGATGAAAGATTGTTTATTGCCTATATAACTAATCAGCTAAAATCGCCTTTGAAAGAGTTGTGAAAGTTGAGGTACAAGCTGAGAAGCAAATAGTGTATACACATTGGCAGAACACTGCACACATAATATGAAGAAGATTAGAAACTCAAAGTTTCTAAGTTTCTTGTCCAATTAGAAATTGGAAGAAGAAACATCTGTATCTCTGGAAGATGCGGAGGAATCTTGTGGAAGTATTTTTGTGATCTTACCCTCCTATTCTTTTCTCTAGTGTGTCTATTTTCTACTGCTGTCAGTAGTAGGATCTGTAGTTGGATAGATTTTTGCCCTTATCCACTTGTTGCTATTGAGCATGACATTGATTGTATTTTAGTCATTTTGCAAGTTGGATCACTTTAGAACATTAGAAGCTTTTTCAGGTCAATTTTCTTTGGCTTAGGCTGCCCACCCAAGGATGAGTCCATTATCAACCCAGATTATCTGTCAGACTGCTATTTAATGCTCTGGTGAGTGCTCTTTGCTCCTAGTATTATGTTTTTTACTACGTCAATAATAGGACATTTACCTACACTATAATCCTGTCTACACTTTATAGATGTATCTTAAATATCCCAACCTATCCAATGGTTCTAGAATGGATATGAATACCCCACAACTAAGGAAAAGTTTCCATATATACTCATTAACAGTGGTTACTTCACTGAAAGTAAGGATGAAGATAGTTCTCTTCTGCTTCATGGTCGTCTTCAGTTTCATGATCATGTGTTTCATGATTGTCGTCTTCGTCATATTCTTCCGGTGTTAAAAATCGTCGAAACACTGGTGTTCTTAGCTGAGTGGACTTGTTGACATTACCATTTTGTTCACCGTAATAAATGGTTCGAATGTGAGGGAAGCAAAAGAATGCATATGTGCTTATTGGAATTGTAAGCTTATTTTGGTCCACTCGTATATAGGTTAACTGGTTGGTGTTCATTGGATCAATAGATGGACACATCAAAGTAACATTTATGACTGTAAGAGAGAGAAAAATATTAATTAAATACAGAAAATAGTTATATTTAAGACCTATTGCAAAAGTGAAACTTAAGTTTTGAAATTTAAAACAAAATATTTTTGCAGTGCACAATACTGATATAAAACTTCCCTTTGTTTTAAATTGCTTTTTAAATTACAGTGATAATAATTTTGGATTTTGCAAAGTATAATGTTGTGGGGTAACTGAAAAAAAAAATTACCACTACAATTTATGATTACTATTTTATGTGCATGGAATATTTTAATAATACCTTTTCTCTGTATACTCTTTTATCAATTGGCTAATGAGAAGCAAGTTTCAAAAATGTTTTAGCTTGTTATATGAAAAACTGGTGTAAACTTTTACAAAAAATTGCAAATTAGGGGTAAGATGCAAAATTAAAATCCTTTCTAATTTCACTGCTGTTTGGCCTCAACTAACTGAGGATGTGTTTACACTGCATCTTGAGAAGACGGGATGATATTCTTTCTGCACTGTAAGCTGATCAAAACCTATGTAGCTGCATTTGCTCCTGAGAAGTGCAGTGTGTATGAACTCTGGGTCAGTGCCACATGAACCCGGTAGTTCAGAACACTAATAGCTCAAGTTCACGTCTCTGCAAAGAAGGACATCAGAATACCTCTTGAACAACATGCAAATTTGGCTGACTGCTGGATTCCATGCTTGGTTTATACATGACCTAACTGAGAAGGTGTAAGGCAGCAGGTCCTCGAAGGGACACCAAAATAGATGTTTCTGATAGTTTTTGATGTAGGCTCAGAGTTCTTAATTCTGGATGGAAAATATGCCGAACTCACCCCCTCCCACAGCCAATGCCAAAATCCACTAAACTTTTTGCTTTTAAAGATTTACAACCATCAACTTACTTTCAATGTCATTGTCTTCAATATACAGATGCTGCAAACTTCTTGGAATATAGAATACTTGTTTCAATTTGTTGTGTCCAAGATTAAGTTCTAGAAGGTTAGGTAGGTTAAAGGTGTTATGTGGAATGTTCTGCAGGTTATTGTGGGACATTCGTAGAGCAATGATTTTTGGAAGTCTGTTGAAATAGTGTTCTGGAATATAAGAAATGGAGTTATTTTCAAGAGAGAGATACATAAGTGATGATGGTAGATCAGGAGGCATAGTCTGTAATTTGTTGTTGCATAAGTTGAGCTGCATTAAATTTTTCATGTTTGAAAATGGTTTTCCTTTGAGTACTGAGTCGTCAAGAAAATTATTGCAAAGGTCAAGCATGGTTATGTTGGGTAATCCTTCCAATGCATTTCCAGATAACCGAGAAATCTTATTGAAACCAAGGAGGAGTCTCTCTAGAGAGCTGGGGAGTGGGAATGGAAATTCTTCTAATTCATTATGTTGTAAATGAAGTTGCACTAAGTTTGAAAATTTGGCAAACACACCATGGTCAATCATATGAAATTTAATTTTGTTATAGCTGAGGTTAATTTCTCTTAAGAAGGTAACATTAGTGAATGGTCCTGTAGGCACAGCTTCAATATCATTGTTTTGCAGATAAAGTTGTTGGATGTGACTGGGGATATTTGGTATTGTCTTAAGCTTACGATGATCACAGTACATTGATAATGGAAAAGCTGGTGGGCAAAAGCATTCTCTGGCGCACTGAAGTGGAAAAGGAAAGCGAGGAACTTCAGCTTGTGTATTTGGATTAAAATAATATGGATGTTGATGATTTGGCTCCTCATCATATTCATCCTCAAAATCATAGTCTTCGTATTGACAAAAGACCATAGCAGCCCAGAGGAGGTGAATGATTGATAGCTGGCTTAGAATCCCCATATTTAAATTTGTTGTATCCTGTTGATGAGAAGGAAAAAGAAGTTTATCAGGTAGTCAATAAAGTAAATCACATAGAAGTTTCAGTTTTAAGAAGCAGCAATGTAAAATAAAGTAAGTAGAATAATGCATTTTTTGGCAACGTTGTCAGTGACATTATTAGTAAAACCAAGTTTTAATCTGTATCTTCTAAGAAAACAACCATAAATGCACTATCCTTGAAGTAAATGTAAGTTTTCTTGTTTGACTTCAGACAAGGAACAGCATTCTACCTGTGCCGTGCCTGTTACTGAAGGATACCATAACAGTTGAGAGTATAAAAAAAGTCCCAGTCTTCATTCCTTTCTCACTTTATTACAGAAAAATTGCAAAAGGACTTTTTATATAAAGTGATATAGTCTGGGATTTGTATTGGACATTTGAGGTGTTGCATTCTTTCCAGTGTAATGGGTTAAGCATCAGCCTTACAAGTCAGTTTTAAATGGGTTCAGATGGAATTCCTGAGCAAGTTTCTTCCTCAGACATTTGGAAGCACAGGTAGCCTTATTAACTCTGTCAAAATGACAAGATTTTCTGCAAATGTATTGATTATTCTCGCTTTGAACTTGCACTGAACGAATGGTACGTGGTCAATAGAATGAATGTTGTTTGGACAGGACTTTTGGTAATCATGTAGTCCAGTGTGGGTCTCCAACTGTTTCTATCTCCCAACAGTAGATGAGATCTGCCTTGACTTTGGGTGAGCCCTGAAAATCTTCAAGGGTGGAATTCCAGCATCTCTCGAAATAACCCAAGTTAGTGTTGTACTACCCTCCTTGTGAAGAAATTTGCTAGTCTTAATAAGCATCCAAGCCATGGCTTGTGTCTGTTGTTCTTTTTTTTTTTTTTAAAACAAAGTTATTTTAAACAAAAATATATATACTCAAATAAAGTGAGGTAATTGCAGGATTGTTTCTATAAATAGAGCAGTGCAATAGATTACTTTGAAATACTGTATTTTATGTAACATAGAAATTTACATGGCATTGGTGATTGTATGTTCTATGGTGTTTTATGGTTTTTCTATTTTTTTTTTTCTTCAAAACATGACTTAGTACAATGCATTAATGATGATAAACATTTAATTTTTCTGTTCCTGTCATTTAATTAAATCAAGTACAATTCAACCATTGCGCACCACACATCATTTAAAATCTTCATTTATAAAGTTTTCTTTATAGTCTTTCTATGCTTTTGTAATCATATGTTCTTTCTAGACGTGAACTAATTTATCTTCAAGTACCCTTCTGAGGTGAAATACTGTTGTTGTGAAAAACATATAATTTTGCATGTCAAATTTCTGATGCTCAAAGCCAGACAAACATTTTAGAGCACTTTACACAGTCAGAGGAACCCTGTTGTTTGGCAGAATTGGAGTTGTGAATCATAACAAGCTTTCAACTTAAACAGATGAGTCAAAATGTAACATTGCAGGTCCAAGCACATAAATCGTGGAAAATTTGAAGAGACTTTGGTCAGTATAGCGTGGGAACCCTGAGGCAGAGGAAGGTAGATATTCTCAGGGTTTTTTATAATGACATTTATGTTTCTTAATCAGGGGACTCTCTTCTTTGTTTTGTTGATGCTCTTAATATTTTTTTTACCAAACAATTAGTTGTTAACAAAGGATATGAGACTTACAAATGCTAATTTTCTGTGCTTCATAGTGATGATTAATTCCTAATGCATGATGTATTCTACAAATTGAATGAGAGAGAGGTAATCCTAAGAAAAAAAATATTAGTAGCTATCATGGGATTTAATACATCCTCATAATTTTCCTGTGTTGCACACAGCCTGTATGTGACAATGGCTGGGTGAAATCATTTGTGGTATTGTCTAGCTTGCATTTCTAACTTTTTGTATCATTTGCTTTTGAATGCTCCTTGAATCAAGTTTCATTACTGCTTAAAAATCTTAAAAACAGGTTTGGATGGAGTCAGTTGTTTGGAACCCCACGATAGGTAGGTCCTCAGCAAAGCCAGGGTCTCCATATCCCTACAGCATCATCAGATGTCTGAGTTAATCTAAGTAAATGGCAGAAATATGTCTACACAGAGAACAGCCTTGCACTGCAAGCATTGTGTAAATGCACTATGCCGATAAACTTTGCAGACACTTCCTGAGTTGAGCAGCAATGCGGTGCTTCAGGAGGAATTACTTGGTTTTCAGATTTGGGCAGTATATATTGGGAGAATACCTTATTTCCATATTTCTAGCTTCTAGTCAGACCTGGTGGTGTCTACCTGTTAAAAATCTGTTTCTAAATCCTGTGACTTGATTCTGTTTTTCATGAACAGATCCTTACACAATCTGTCCCCTGTTTATTTCATGTTCTTGATTTCCTTTGCATTACTGTTACTCCCTCTCAGTTTCAGTCCAGAACCTTAGCTTCACCTTCTACTTTTATTCTGAGTACTTCTACTAGGTGTCACAAAATTTCCAATTAATGATTTCAGTTCTCAGGGCCACAATAGTCCTTAGAAACCAGGAAGAACAACTCAGGTAAGTCCTGCTCAGTTTGAGGAAAAAGCTTCCTTTGGCCTTCATGCAATTGATCCACTTGCCAGGAAGATGATGTAAAGAGAACTATAATCACTTCAGATGGAATGATAAGTAATAGATAGCAAAGTCTCTCGCTAGTCTTTGGGAGAGAGAGGACATGATATTTGGGGGGGATTTTTTTTTTACATCTTGGCTGTAGTTGAGTGCATTTTTGATAGAACAGAAACTGTCCTTCCAGGCTTGCAGGTCATATCTCAAAGCACTGAGATACTAACACTTCTTCATGAAATATTTCTAAGAACTTTTAGCTTTAAAAAATCATGTCAGGTGAAACTTGATAATGGGAGATGCAAGTCAGATGCACACGATATGATAAACTGCATGCTTAGAAAGTTGCAAGAAATTAGAAAATCTTAAAAGCATGATTCTCTACCATCTCTAATAAAGCTTAGTAACTGTATTTGTAAGCTGTTTACTAGCTGAAAGCTGAAAATTATATAACATGCATGAATCACTCTTAACTGCAAAAATAACACAATCACTTCTTTTTATTCCTGATTACCAAGAAAACTTACTCTTTGGAAGTCTGTGAAGCTCAAGTTGTAGAGTGCAGCAAGTTATTGTGCTGGTGAAATCATCTGAGAAATAGCCTAACACAGCTGGAGGGAACAAAAGATCTCTCTAAGCCATATTTTGTGGTGAGGAGCCTTGTGGGAAGGCAAAGCAAAATAATAGCCTTAGCCCCTTTTCTGATTTGCCAGTAAAAAAAAAAAAAAGGAAAAAAGAAAAAAAAAGAAAAAAGTTGTGCCACATCATCAGTTACTGTAGATGCTGTGTCATAAGTCTGAAGCAATTCCTCGTTTTGTTAAAATCACTTCAAAATTATTTGCAAGATTCTTTCACTGTCACCAGTTCCCATTAAAAAAAAAAAATAAATTGAGAAAGTAATACTTCAAGAAGTATTACAGAGGTCATTAGTTCATAGTATGGTTTCAACTACAATGATTCAGTTATGCAAAGGATTTGTCCTCTGGAGGATGAAGTTAAGAAACAGTAAAAAATTAACCTTATCAAGATTAAGGGAAAAACATGTCCTATAGAAAAGCTTTTACGGCCATCTTCCATTTTATACTTTGTTCTCCTCCACAATCCCATATTTCCTGTTTCCTTCCTGCAAAGTAGTTAGTGCTGTTGGTGTGATGATGTACTTCTCAGGGTTGTTTTAAAGTTGTAATTCGGGATTCACAGTGTTTCCCATGTGTTTTTGCTAAGTTGTATAGAAAGAGCATAAATTTTCCTCTGAAAAAGACAAGTATGACATGAGATATAAACCATGTTACTGAGGAAAATTATTTTTCATAGCTTTTATGAGGGAGAAATAAAAGGCATGATTATCTGCTTTTGCTGCTATGTGGTACTTAGATAACTGTGTTATATGCAAAAAATTGAGAAAATGAACAATTTTCTTGTTGAATTGAGACATTCTGGATTCATTGTATGATTTATCAAAAGCATTTGATTATGCTTTTGGTTTAGTAAAAGAATTGCATCATCTCAAAATCTATTCACAAGGAAGAATCTGATTCTTTAAAAAACATAAGTGCCTTTGAGGTATCATATTTGAGAAAATAATGCAATAGTAAGTTTTACTTCTTTTTTTGTCTTTGAGCTTCCTGAAGCTGATGATTTGCTTGACCTTTTCACATTTTTCTCTGTAACATTGAGGACAAGAACATTGTTTGAGAAGATAAATCACACATGATTCTAACATTTGGGACATAAATAAAAGCACCAGAAGTCATGAGCAAAAATAATAGTGTAGGAGTTGGCGATACTGGAATTAAATTAAAACAGTCATGTATTTATGTAGAGAATATAGAATACAAGGGAGAGGTTGAAAGAGTAAAATTAAAACTGCATAATCCTTTATTAACAGTACTGTAAATGATTGAATAACTGCATTGTACCACTAAACCCAACTAATACTAAACAACAAAAGTAATTGGTTCTTAAAATAATTAGAATACATTCATAATCATGAACAAAAAAAACCTCACCAAGTTTGTTATGCCAGTTAGCAAAATGTTATTTGCCGCTACAAAGTTTGGGGTTTTTAAGCACAAGACAAAGAATATGGTGCAAATTTTTGGAAGCTCCATTATATTAACAGTTCTAAAATAAGCATATGCAAAAATTAAAACATTTTCTCTAAAGATAAAAATTGGACCAAATTAGATTTTTAATTTCATACCTGGTATTTTTCTATCTTTTTCAACTACAGTTTGTATCCCAAATCCTCTTAAGCTGTCAGGAAATTTTAAACCTCATGATGCATTTAAAAATCTATGGTGGCAGAACAAGAGTCTATCCTTTTGAAAAATTGTAGCAAACCTCTTGATTTAAAGCATATTTAACTGTAAAAGATGATGCGGATCTAGCTATGGGATATATTCAGCCTC